ATATATATATATATATATATATATATATATATATATATATATATATATATATATATATATATATATATGTATATATAACTAATTTTTCATATTTTATTATACTTATATAACTACGATTTACTTTCCTTTTCTTACGCCTGACGGTTAAGTTTTGCTATTGAGGAGTTAAAGTTTGAACTTTAAGTGAAAAATAATAGACCGTCTGATTCGTTGTTGAATATATTATTTGAAAATAAAGGACCCCTTGATATACTGTTGAATCGTATTGTTGGAAAACAGAAAGGGCTATTTGACATCTCAGACAGCACAGAGAATTTAAAAAGAACTCAGTCGTATGTCACCAATTCTGAATTCATTTTCAGATGCAAAAAGAATTCTTTTCACTGAACTAAACTCTGAAGAATTCTTTTTGCATCTGAAAATGAACACAGAATTGGTGACATACGACTAAATTCTTTTTTAATTCTTTTTTAATTCTCTGTGTTATCTGGGATATCGTCAAATTGTATTAAAAAAAATAGAAAGTGCTCCTGATTCGTCATTGAGTCGTGCTACTTAAGAATAAAAAATATGTCTGATCCTTAATTGAGTCATACCGCGACTTCGATTTGCCAATATTCGATTTGCCTCAGGTCAGAGCTAAAACATCGTGCACCATTTGTAAGAAGGGAGTGAATAAAGGCCGGTTTATGATGGCCGTAATCCGTTAACTTATGCCGGAACCGTAAAAAATTGACCAATCATAGTCGAATTATAGAAGAATAATTGACTGTGATTGGTCAATTTTTTACGGTTCCGGCATAAGTTAACAGATTACGGCCATCATAAACTGGCCTTAAGTGAGTAAATGAAAGAGAAGCTGCGCTTCGTTATTAGTTTTAGAGCTTCTTTTTCATTTACGTAACCTCTAAAATGGTATAAACAGAATGCAGACCAATCAGGAATCAATATACTTTGTTCTAATTCTGACTAAAGAAACTTATGGCTAAGTTCGTCTTGCACACTTTTATGCTGAAAACACCATTCTATCTTCTTTCGATATACAATATAACGATAAAGATAGAATGATGCTTTCAGCACGAAAGCGTGCAAGACGAACATAGCCTACACCAGTAGAAGCAGTAGTGACTCATAGCGGAAGCTTTGAAACTATAATGTGTAGTTCCAAAGTCTCCGCTCTGAGCCGCCACTATATTTACCGAAAAATTAAGGTAGTAAAACGGGATATCTATTTTCATATTCCTTCCCTGGGCTCTTCTTGAAATTTTTGCGTATACGTAATTTTTATTGCGCAGGTTTAATCATACTATAAAATAGCTGCGCAATGAAAATTATGTATACGCAAAAATTTCAAGAATAGGTGTCCTGGCCGGTGCAGTCGATTCTGGCCTCACTAGATTTAACTTGTTATACACTACTGGCAAATTTTATCTCTAGCATAGATACAAACATCTAGACCTCAGGTCTACAAATATTTTTTCTTTTCATATTTATATATTTTATAAAAATTCTAGATTAAGGCGTCGAAAATTCTATTTCCCTTATACTTTAGTTAATCCAGTCAATAACTTCGATGATAAATCAACCATAGCGTTTTCTTTACCTTGTTACTAGATTAAGGTTACAACTTACATTCTATTAATACTGTATATTACTCCTAAGAAAACTGTATTCATTTTCGAATTCGTATTATGTAAGGATTAGATAGGTTTAACACCTAGACCCGTACACTTTTTGTACATTCTTTATTTCTAATAAAAAAAAAAAAAAAAAAATAAGGTAGTAAAACGACTCAACAACGGGGCGGTCAACTTTTATTTTTTCAAGTAGTATGACTCGACGATTCTTCAATTAGACAGAGATAATTCTTTTCAATTAGTTAGTATGTCTAACAACGAATCAAAAGGACTTTTTATTCTTCAGTAGAATGATTGAATAGGAAATCAAACAAACTTTTATCTTATTTAATACTAAGAATAGAAAAAAATTATTATTAACTTTTTTAGCAGAAATAGCAAATACACATGTCTTTGCTGCGTTTTATCTCAATATATATTATCAAATAATACTAATAATTTATTAAATATTAAATAGTTATAAAAAATAAAAATTAATTGATTATTATTGATAAAATCGATTAACGGAAGTGGCAATGTTTTTTACGTTTGAATGTTAGGACATTGATTTTTGTGAAATATTTGCAGACAGCGTGAAAGCTTGAAGATCTAATTTATTGCATGATTTTTACGTTTGAAATTTTCGCGTTACTGATAAAATAGGCGTAGAATACCTTGATATCGGGATAAAGACTGTAGCAGCTCAGCTCAAAGCGAACTTGATCGTTGCCTTTCCCGGTAGCTCCATGCGCGATGATAATAGCACCTTCCGCTCTTGCGGTTTTTATCAGACCTTGGCTGATGCACGGTCGTGCTATGGAAGTACCTAAAAGATATCTTCCCTCGTAGAGCAAACCGCAGGCCACCGCGGGCCACACGTAAGAAGTCGCAAATGTTTCTTTGAGATCATCTATCACAACCTTGCAAACAATCCAAGTTTTAACAATCCAGAGAGCACAGATCTCCACAGGACATCCTAAAGACGTTCTGAGAACATTCCAAGGACATCTCTTGGAGATCTTGCGTTGTCTGGAAAATGTAACAAGTTATGTAACAAATGTTACATAACAGCAAAGATTTACAATAGGCACATTTGAAATACACAAAGAAGCTTACCACGAAATTTCCAGAATTTTGTCACGATAGAGTTCGAAATGAGGGAATTTTATTTGAATTATTTGATTGTAGTTACAAGCGAACAAAACGCAATTACCTTAACAGCGCCAATTTTTAGCGCCTTCTGCCGAGCCTCTTCCAAGTCTTCATTTTGTCCGATGTTCGCCTGAACAATCAGTCTCTTACATATTCATTCGTACGAAATAACATTTACAATTGCGAGGATGTTTACCATATAAGCGACAACCTGGTATCCCTTTTCTCTAAGCCAGAACAATATGCAAGACGTATCTAAACCGCCACTGTACGCCAGAATCACCTTTTTTTTTGAATCCGACATGTCTTCGGTCTCGCTTCGAGTAGAAATTGAAATAGATATACGACGAACAGATCGAAAAGGAATGACTGTTACTAGTGGCATTTGTCGGCTCCGCTTTTTGCTTTATAAGTAAACTTATAATTTGACCCCACACACACCGATAACCCCCATGAACGCTTTCAAGAGCAATCAATACTTTGTCGAGATACTTTCGAGAGCGAAGTGTTATCTGAGGCGTTATCTATGGATTCTTTTTTTAATTTCACGCGCGTGTCATGATTATGGTGATCGGTGTGATAATTAATAAAAAGAGACGGCAAATAGAGCGCATCGTAGGCCTTTATAAGCAGAACACTTCCTTCGGAGCTATAATCTACGCACATACATATATATATTATATATATGCACAACAGGATATATTCTCTATAAATATCGTTCAACTTCGTAATAATCTCTCCGCTAATAGATCGCAACATTTATCGACATTACATCAATAATTATTACCATTATTATATTCGTCGACAAGCTTCTCAACCGAAAGCGCGCTCCTCTACCACACACATATAGTCGCGGAATGATTGCTGTTTCATATCGCGGTAAATCTTACGATACACAAATACACATTGATATTATAATTGCGTATGTAACTACATTCAACGGAAGTAAAATAGTCACTAGAGTCAAAGTCGAGTTTGTAAAAGAGAAAAGGGAACAGAGAGATATGTGAATATCATATATATATCGTGAATACATATCGTGAATTATATACGTGGAAATTACGTCGAAAGTTTATGTGTCGTGTGTGTGTGTGTGTGTGTGTAGTTGTACGTTTGAACCGATGATCGGTCAATTGAAACAAGACGCGCGTATTGCACATGACTATCGAAATACAGCTAAGCGAGTCAACAAAGAAAGAACAAGCGTGAGAGATCGGGTTCGTACATCTAGCGGCTTTATTTTACATCCAGCGTGGTGTCACTAACTATTATATGTTCAAGAAAATAATATTATCGAATAAATAACGTGGCATTCGTATCGTCGTTACCGTGCCGGCACTAAAGTCTTTCGATGTTCTCAATCGTGACAGAATCGATTACTTCGGATCACTGCGGTAAGCCGGAGAACGGGCTACGTTTCTCAAATGCCAACTCGGATCTATAGTGGTCGGTGAGCCTCTCAACGATAACGGAGGGTAATGAAATAACGCTAATAATAACGAGAAATGTACACGAATATCACGATCTTTCTCTACGATACAGAAATTCCTTCGCGCGAGTTGCCTCCCTTATTACCGATAAAGAGTGGTGCATCGCGCGAATGAATGTTTCTCTAGAATTCCGTCGGAAGCTCGATAGCGAGCCCGTTGTACCGTTACACCCCTTTCGCGTGACATGCATCAGTATTGCCAACGTGTCTCATACAATCTCCAGTAACTACGTATTCGCGCAGGCACTTGATTCTAGATAACTTCTCAAGATCAAGATCCCTCGTGCTTGATTGATACACGAATACTTTCATTATTAGCAGACTGATAGTTGCATTACGTCAAGGATATATCTCTCATGCGTTTCCGCTCAGAACGAGGCACTCTCTCGTTTGAAGAATTGACACTGCGTTCGTTTGCTCAGTTTATGTTCTAATTTCGTATTTGAGATCAATGATGATTTCATAGCTGGTATTACTGATGAAGTCAAAGCTAATGGCAGATTACGAGTGCGGGAATGTCGTCTGTTCCTCGGTCTATGCAGCAGCTTAGACGTGTACCTTGCTCAGGTCGTTCATGAACGATTTTGGCGTAATTATGTGGGACGAGCCTGCGATAAGTGCATATTAACGATAGTGGGCTTTCAAATATATGAGCTGTTCTTCGATTTTGAAAGTTAGATTATTCTTACCAATTATGACCTCCCAGTTTTTCAATGCGTTTGTCACCTCGTAAGCACATCGTATCTCAGAGAAGCATACTCCGCCGACTATAAAGACGATTAAGCGGGGAACGTTCTTGATGGTCTGTTGGCCCTTGTCTTTGTGCCAATGACCATATCGTGCGCTGCAAACATACGTGCAATTATTTTAGGAAATAGAAGATGAATTAATGAATATAAAATAGTACATAAAGCATATAATATTATAATATACCTAGTTGGTGCGTGATATCCTGAACTGGCAGCGCGTCCGGCGAGGAATGGAAAGTGTTTGGAATCAAGTTTATCTTCAATGGAGTCCTCCATGACGTCCTTGATAATCGGCGTCCAACGACTCATCTGATAAGTCTGCTCTGTGATTCTCTCTTTACGTTGTACCGTATACAGTTTTTTGCGATTGCCCTGTGAACGCGTAATGAGACATGGAATCAAATTGCTAGCCAAGCAGCATCGCTAAAGATATTCTGCGATATACAACGCATGTAATTTGCAGAGATTCTCCAGCTTACGTCTACGACAACGTTGATGCCGAGATTCGCCATGTTAACGATGGTCTGTTTGTCATCGACGGATACTTGGGCATGATGGACCAGCCGGTTCAGATTCTCATCGGTGATGCCGTTTTTACTGATCACGTACAGAGCGATAATACGCAACTTGTCCAGATGGTTTACTGTCTGATCGAGGAGAATCGGTGTAATGTTTCTCATGTGGTCCTTGATGCGCTCGCCTTCTGCATCTGTTCCCATAGCCAGATCCTAGAAGCCATAATATCAAGGAAAACATGGTTAGAAAAGTATATTTCGCGAGATGGGTTATAATATAACAATGCTATCGAGATACCACGTACTTGCTCTACTTTACAGAGTTTATCTACATTTCCTTGATAACGCTTCATGCAGTCCTCAGCCAAATGCAAATGCGTGGCGTATTTGCTCAATTCTTTTTGATACTGTGGCATCTTTTTGATCATCTGTGACAGGTCTCGCATACTCTGCCCTGCCTTGTCACCCTGTGGCATTCTTTTTGATTCTGTAAACTTCTTTAAGTTTTTAGTCACGTTCCTGTAAAAGACGAAGCTTGCTGTTGCGTGACACTTCTCCCACGAGTCGTCAAACATCTTAAGAAAAATTTGAAACCTGTGTGTATACGTACTGAGACACCACGGCGATATGTTGATGCCTAAGCTCCAGCCACAAGTCATCGTTCTCGTCCAGCAGTACTTCTTTCTCTTGCCCTGATGTCTCAAACCTATTCGATGTCATTGCGATATTAGATAATCGTTTTAAATAATTGCATGAATTGTGAGACTATATTTACCTGTAGACATCATTGTCAATATCCAACAAATCGTATGCCATGGCCTGTAGCGTGAGTTCGTGCAGCAAAGGTGAAACGCAGTCGAATCCTCTATCTAAGATCAGTAGTTGGGAACGTGCTTTCTCAGGACCTTCTCCCATAGTCGGCTCATCAGCCTTGTACGCGTCCAGTTTTTGCTGCACCAGTTGGGCCAACTCAACATTGCGGTCGAAATCACTACGACACATTCAATATTTATTAAATATTGTCGAAGAAAGCTTTTAGCCTTGTTTTCACCAAAATAAGAAAATGCAGGAAGGCATTAGAAGGTTGGGTTTATTTCAACAGTGTTTGTACAATTTTCAATTTACCAAATCTCAAGATGTCGGTTATTAAAATTACCTTCGATATCTCGATTATTAAAATTACCTTCGATATCTGACTGATGGATATTCTCCCAGAGTAGCGCAGAGTGTTGCAATCTGTTCGGCGATGCGCTCCATGTTAGCTGGTCTCAGGTTGAAGAAAGATGGGTTGTAAAAGCAGGCGAAAGTTTCGCGCGAATCCAACGAAAAGACCTGAATCGAGAATCGGGATCAGTACAACGACGTTCTAGTCGCGTCCAACAACGCGACGAAGCCAATTGCAACGTTTCGTGAAGAAGCAAAGTAAGTGAGCATGCTGATAATATTAGTAGCATTCGGAAAGCAACGAAGTCGGGCGAGTAACCGCATGGCAAAGTGCGACAAAATATCGCGGATGCTCTCTGTTTAGAGATTGAAAGGAAAAACCGGTGGCAAGGTGCAAGGCGCTAACTTTGCGAAAGGATTTCCTGCGACGCGAGAGAGCGAGAGTGAAAATGAGAGAGAGAGAGAG